GAGAAGTCAAGCTTCCTCTGTGCAAGGTGCCGTGTGCCCCGTCACAAGGGAAGTGTACGCCATAGTACACTTCACTAATGTGCTGCCTTAAACTTAAGCGATGTACACCGCACATGTCAACTTACCAGCCTTAGTGACCGAGTCTGCCATCCTGCCACGAGACAGAGATCACTTTGACGCAAATTATGACGCAATGGGCCTTCAGTGCATACGAATACGTTCTTACAGTATTGTTGATATTATAGCTTCGATATATAAATTATGTTAAAAGCACAAATTTATCAATAATCAGATTGTGTGCGATAGGCATCCGGACTACATCTGTTCGCCTGGTTCAGCATTTGGGCTAGTTATCATCGTTTCTGCTCAAAGGTGCGGTCGTAGAAATGTCTAAGAAAAGCAACTAACTTGAAAATACATAATGATTTAAATTGGAGGTTTGTATCAGAAATCATCCCTACCATATCTTTTTTCTCTGAATATGATAGTAAACGTAATCTCTATGCATTTTTATTCGATAGTCTTGCAACCAACGTATCATCAATCCAATCGACCCATAAGTAAAGATCACAAAGAAGAAGACTATTTGTGCGTTCAACACTAGCCGACAGACGATGCTATCACAATACTTGTGCCTAGAGCTGAGCTGCATGACACGCCGTACGTTCACTGTCGACGTCGACATTCTGGAAGTAATCCCATATGGATCTTCTCTTTGAAAGATCTGCCAATGCGCAGTTTGATCAGTCATCTCGCTATATCATTAGGTAATTTAGGCTGGGAATGGAAGTAAACACTTAATCAGGAGCATCTAATAGCATTTTAATTGACCAGGATGAAGTAAGAGCAAGACATCAGTGAGACAGAAGCTACTGCATTGCATAGACGTCAGATGGCTTGGGTAGGAATGTTCTCACGACGTCACCCCTGTCACAATATGTTGTTTCTCTTGAGCAATGATGGACAAGAATTTTTATTGTGCCATCAACTTCAACGTCATTTTGGCTTGGCGCCCTGTTGCTGGCCATGAGGTGTCCGGCACTATGCTGAAATGCTACCGGAACCATCTGAAGTGCGAGCTTAGAGACCGGACGTGGTAGTGTTAGATGCCGTGTGTAAACTAGCAAGCCTCCGCCCATCGTTTCAGTGCAAACAACTTGTGTTCAGAGGCAGCTGTACAGTATAACATGTGTGTACATGGTAGTGTACATGGTATGTAGTAGTGAATCTTAGACGACAAACGTACGGAGAAGTTCTGCTTGTTTTCTGCTGCTACTAGCATATAAACACCTTAGCGATGAACACTTTTCCGTGGGACCCAATTGCTGGTAATTTTTAGTGCCACCCGGACTTTTCATATCTCTTTACGGAATTGTGGTAATTGAGGTGACGGAACCACAGTCAGAATAAACGAACGAGTTCGCTTCATGTTGCCGCGCATCAGTCAAATCCTGAAATAATTGCCACAAGTAAGACCACTAAGAAAGTTACGGTACAGGTTATGTTTGTGACTCACTGTGGGCACAGAGAGTGAGCATTGCACTGAAACGATTCAAGTGTCACAGAACGGGAGTATCCAAATGCTCAAGCCCTAATAAGGACTCAGCAACAGATAATGCTGTGCCTCTGCACAGTTAAATCTTACAAAATACCGTAATATCAGGATTCTTAGCTATAACTACTTACCCACAATTTTGCTCTGTGGTGGTCTTAATTTTTCTTTAGCTTCTAATAAAGCTGGTTTAAATCCTGGTAATCAGTCGGGAGCTTTGCCTCCTCAAGAGCGTCATCTTTGTGAGCGCCTGCTGGCTGATAAGCTCTTGAAAGTGAGGGAGGTGCTTTGCGCAGCGACAGGGAATGTTACCGATCTAGAAAGAGCACTTCATGCAGCCAAAAGCGCTCTGCAGACGGCGTATCAGTTAAACATTTCCCGCGCTTGTGCTAAGTGTCATCATCGCAGCATAGAGTCACCATGTCGTTTAAAGACATGGTTGAGAGTGCAGCAGCTGCTGGTGAGTGGAAACAGGAGTTGAAAGCGACACCTGAGAGCCGTGGAGTATGGGCATCAGAGGAGCACCGACTTTTTGTGGATGGCATCAAAATGTTCCCATCGGGTCCTTGGAAAGACATTGCAAACCATGTGGGTACGCGCACGGCACGCCAGACCATGACTCACGCGCAAAAGTATCGTCAAAAGATTGCGCGGCGGCTTCGCAACGTCCGTATGAGTGGCAAACACAGTCCAACTTTTCTCATGGAACAGTCGTCGCGCTTCAGTGCGTTGCTCTGTAGCGATGAGCAATTTAATGACTCAATTCTAGCTACATCTCTAGCTATTGCAGCTGAAGGCGAGTTGGAAATGCTTGGTGAGACTGGTGAAGGCTGTGCGTCTCCTTCTATGCAGCTACAAATGCAAATGCAAATGCAAATGCAAGCGCAGATGGGCATGATGTCGAACTCAAACGGTTTCATGGTCCCAAGTAACAGGCATGAGAAACTACTACCACTAGCAATAGACTTTTCCTCTACACAAGGCAATCCGTGCTACTTGGATGGACCGTCTTGCGAGCCGAGTGATATTGAGTTTGACAAGTGTATGGACTTTTTGATCGAAACGTTTCACAGTGAACCTTCAGCTAACTGCCCAGATGCTGGCGCTTTTCGGACTCGAAGTATATTTATTTGAGAAGACCTAGCAGGTGGGCCAAAAGCTGTGTTTTTAGAGTTTGCGATCAAAGCTATACGTGTGGATATGCCCAAGCTTCTAGAGGTGAAGAATTTTAACGCAGTAATGTAGTATAGGAATGGGCCATTCTAGTCGATCCATGTACGTTAAACTGCGTACTTCGCTCTATTGATAATTACATAACACAATTCCATAGATTAATGAGCCTGCATCTTTTATATTTACTAAAAATATCAGCTTTATAGAAGAACAAAAGTGGGTCAAAATAGACAGCCATATTGTCAAACTTAATAAGATCATACTTTGCTTGTCAACATTTTATAAATTAGTTATAGAGAACATTGCTGTATATAACCATCAGATGCTCAGCTGAGAATGACGAAAAAACTCTCAACTTCGTCATACCGGTTTTGACAGTGTAATATCTTAGAAAACGCGGTAGATTCGCTAATCAAATAATTATTATTCTTTCTTTGAGTATTACATTTTTTTCTGTCGAGAAAGCGCTTATGACTTGAGTATGGCGCAGCATGCGAAATGCGGTACGCGACGGTCAAACTGTCGAGCGGTATGCCATATAAATTTCACATCAAATAAATAGGCAGCAGTCCCAAACAGCTACGTGGAAACATATCATTCGAGATTAAGCGCAAGAACGATGACTGATTCAGGATCTACAAGCAACTCTGACGAAAAGATACGGATAGCAGCAGGAACAGCGACTGGGGCGGCTACAGGAGCAGGTATATGGGGCCTAACGTTGTCAGCAGTCAATTTCATTGGATTTACAGCAACGGGGATCACTAGCGGTTCGACGGCTGCGTCCATGATGTCAGCCGCTGCAGTCGCAAATGGTGGTGGAGTGGCCAGTGGCAGCGCCGTTGCAATTCTACAAAGCATTGGAGCTGTCGGATTGACGGCGTCAATCGGTCCGTGTCTCATAGCAGGAGGTGCCGCCATAGGCGGTGCTGTAATGCTGGCAAAGTCAAATGTGTTCAAGAAAGCGGATGATGAGGGAGATGAATCCGCGGCATCGGCTAACAATGCGGAAGGCGAAAAAATCTGGGTACTGGCCGAGATCTCACTGGAAACGGAAAAGCCTGTAGCACAATTTGTGAGCGACGAAGGTGAAGCACGTAGCGCCTTTTCAAGCTCATCGGCAACCAGCAAGGTTTTATTTGATCCGGAAAAAAAAATAGCGCTGGAATACGCCTGGGACCACTCATTGATGTCGTATGAAGATGTCATAGGGTGCGCTTCATAAACATTGATGTAGCAAGAACCCGCTGGCTGGGAACAAAAGTGTTAGAGACACTGTTTTTCATTTTTTGCAACCAATACATGTCGTCGTCTTACCTTGTAGTCAAATCTTCGATTTCATCCGGAAATTTTGACTTAAAAAAAATTTGATGCGCCTTGACAAAAAAGTCCTTGATATCTTTTTTAAGGTCGATCACCATAGCGACTCGAGGTCACACTGCGCTCGACTTGCAATATGGTGGAATAGTTTAATGCAGGCTATGTGTTCGTCCGCATCAGCTACTGAATGGCGTCACACAACTGACATCTGTCACATGCTTCGAGGCCTTTGCGAATAATATGGAAGGTCACTTGTTATTAAATATTGAACTTGATTACTGCGCACGAGAAAAGTACCAGTAGGTACAAACCATTAGCTATTAGAAATATTTTACTCTTTAAGAGACATTATCTCTTCGCACAGCTCTCTGCATCACACTTTGAAGCAAAGCAAACGCTAAACTCTGTATAAATGGAATCGTCAATTAAAGTTAAACATGATGTAGATCTCATTACATATCCTCGAGCCGCAACGCCCATGACACCAGGTACCTCCAAATTTAATACAGTGAGAGAATGTTGAAAACACGCACTTGCCCCATTTGACAAAGATGTTCAGCGAACCAGTACCCAATACGTGTATGACTGAAGTCAAGTTATTTGCACTTCAATCGCCAATCGAATTGGTCTTTAAAAGAGACCTCGAGTGACGGAATCCCCTAGCAACGTTATTCTCGAAGGGGAGGGATATGATGACGGATTAACTTATCGATACAAGTTAAACAACTGCTAATTGAGTTGGGACCACAGCTTCAGTGCCTTGATAGATCATCAATTTGCTGCTTAATGCTAAAACACGATCCTGAGGTTGGTTGCTCAGAAAGTTTGCGGAAAACTGATCTGAGATGGCCATGAATTAGTGCAGCGGGGCTGCCGTAGCTCTTTGCTCAGGAGAAGCTTACTTAAGGTCACTGACCTTCGTTCTATACAAGAACTAGTACGAATGTAGCGTCTTGTTTCCGTTTAGCCACACCAATGTGTGATTACATCGACTTGTGTAATCCACACATTTGTACGGTCACACCATCTTGTGTGACCCACCCTTTCATACCAGGGTTCGTGTTACCTCGTTACACTCTCTCCCACCAAAATTGTGTGTACCCACATTGTTTTAATCAGATTTTTCATTAAATTTTACATTAAACTGTCGCCTCGTTCGAGGCTAGCGTGTCTGAGACGCCGTTGCGTCCTTTGAACCATCTTCACGCATTCTCTGCTCAATGAGCCCTATGTCAATGACACGAAAAACACCCAGGATGCTCGCGGTCAGTTCCTCCTTCGTCTCCTGCACGCGGTGCAACTTCGAACAGTACCCCGCGGCTTCACGAGGAGCACATCCCAATCCCTCGGCAACCGGGCGCCACACACTGCGGCCGCCACGGGCGACGGACTTCCTCGACGAGGATTTGGAGGAAGTCGACTATGAGTAAAAAAATTCTTTTCCAGGATGGGAAAAAAGGGGAGGAAAAGGTGCGTCAACGTCGCGACATGATCCCTGCTTGCGGACACCGTGTCCTTTTTCCGACCTCTCACTTCCGGGGAAAGTGGTATTATTACCAATTGCCTGGACGAGGCACAGAAGCAGAAGTTGAAGGCTGCCCACAGGGCGGCTTTCATGCGCTCGTATCCGCGTTCGGTTCCTGACCCTCGTGTGGAATACGGTTTCTGCTCGGCGGATCCCGCTACTGAAGTGAAAGACGCGATCACTCGATCGTTAGGCGTCTGTAGTCGGGCCTCCGGCAACAACACATCGGAGCTTGACCAGCAGAAGGCTCTGCGAGCTCGCTTTTTGGTACCCCAAGAGTACCCAATGGATCGGTACCGCGCTCGACTTCGAGCTCAAAAAAGAGGTGCTCCTTTCTCGCAATGCGGATCATTCCTGTGGTGTCCACCCCTGGCGAATCCGATGCAGATGATAATGTGCTTTTTGAGTTACGGGTGCAGCGGCACTGGAAGCTTTCTTCGCTGTCTAACTTACAGTGGAGCCAAAAGGAAGTGGACGTGCGCGTGGAGCGCTATCTTAGATTTTAGTTTGTCAGACACGAGGCGCAACGCCTACTTTCTATGTATCGTTTGCCTCGCAAAACATGGCATACTCCATAATGCTCCCGCGAGCTTTGTGGATTCTCACATGGGTGATTCTACCATCGCAGCAGCTCAGGGTCATAGCTTGAGCTCAGCTCATGGCCCCACGGCTTCCCGGGCTACTGCCGAGAAGTGCGAAGCGTCATGATCCTTGTGATCATAAGCGTCTACGACGTCTGGACAGTCTTGCCGAAGTGGCACCTCAAACACTCACGAGTTCTCGGAGTTTGGGTATCCCCGTCACTTCACAAGATATTGGATAAAATCCCGTCGACGACGTCGACCCAAAAGGCGTTCCACGTGGGAGTGGACGTCATCGAGAAGAGTCGGCGGCGAACGATGACAACTTGGTCAATCGCCGTCCGGTAACTCGCGATACTCTTCGAGTGTTGGAGGACAAATTCCGTCGTCATTGGCACTCCGCCGAGCATTTTGCCGAGGTCACATACCGCTTTGTCGAGGACCTCGAGAGCTAAAAACACGTTGTGCGCCGGCTACCTTACTATCGTGCTCTGTCGGAGCGGCTCCTGGCCATCAAGCAGACGAATACGTCCCTACGTGCAACGGTGGAGCGCCTTGTGTCGTTGGAAACGGAGATCGTTGCACTTCGTGCTCAAAACTAGTTTCTGTTTTAGCTTCTGGGTGGCCAAACGCCTTTGGGCGCCGCCACGGCGGCAACGCTTTCGCGTTCACTTACGTCGGATCCCGGCACGGTTTAAGCAAATCACATAAAACACCGGGTGGGTGCGCATTCTTCTCGGAAGTTTCACGTATTTGCAAGGCCTCGCTTGGCCACGACCTTAAAAGGTTCAGTAAACCGTGGACGTAAATTTGTCCTAAAGACAACAGAGATTGCATGTGTAAAAAGGTATTTAGCATTTGAAAAAACCAGGACTGCGATCAAAACATTTTCAACATTTCTTCTGCTTCTTCTGTGTGCATTTTATATCTAAATGTCTTGGCTTACAGCCATCGCATCGCAGACGTGTCGTAGGACACGCAGTCTGGTAGACAGGAAGTCATCGACTTCTTTACGGACAGTGAGGGGGTTGACATCAGCTAACTCCTCGGCTATTCCTTCCTACCCAAACACTGATCCATTGGATGGCGGCGTCAGCGCGACGCGAAAATCAACAAGCCTGTTCACGTAGAACGGTGTGTAGCCGGTAGATGAGTGCGCTACATTGTGCAGTGCAAACTATACAAGTGGCAACATAGATCTTCAGCGCTTCGGCGTCGTAGCACAGACGCTGCAAAGAACGCCTTCGACGACGCATTCAGTCCGACCATCGGTCCGCGGATGGTTCGATCCACGCATTCAGTCCGACCATCGGTCCGCTGTTAACGTAGTCAAGTTAATGCCCAGAACCCGAAGCTTGTCAATCAAAACTCCCAGTGAAGCGTGGGTCCTTGTTAGAGACAATCGATTCCGGGAGTCCATGTTGTCAAAAGACACGATGCACAAACAGCTTCGCTGTACTCACAACACCGATGGTATCCGGCACTGCCGTAAGATGAGCCATCTTGCTCAAACGTTCCATAACGTCCACCACACCCGTGTTGCCCGCCGAGTCCTTCGGCAGACCAAACACAAAGTTCATACTCATGGACTACTAACACCCGGATGGTACCGCTCAACTGGCCAGCGGCGCCGTCGCATTCGGAGATGGTTTCATCCTCTGACACGTACCACACGTGCGCACATATGTGCTCAACCATTTGTCCAGCTTGTGCCACCAATAGTGGCAACTCACCGAGCTGTACGTCTTCTCACGACCGAGATGACCACTGAGTTGGGTGTCGTGGGCCTCATAGAGGATACTTCATTCCAAATTCTCATCGTGATGAACCACATTTCGTGGCGTATCCATCGAATCGGTGCTATAATACTGCAACGCGTCACTAAACAAATATCGGTGTAACCGTGCGCGCAATCGCGCCGACAACTTCTTGTTCAAATTTCTAAACTCCTTGCTTCCGAGAACCTGTATCAGCGCTACACATATACAATCTCCCGCGTGTGCAGCGCATATTAAATTCCTCACTGACGACGTCACCGACGTGACATGATCAAGCTCGTAGTCCGGTCTGCGTGACAACGTATCAGCCAAAGTATTCTGCTTTCCTGGCATATACTTCACCTCGAATTGATATTTTGCAAAGAATGAGAGATGCCTGGCCATCATGTGCGAGAGGTGAGGCGACAGAAGCGCAGTGCGTAATGACGCATGATCTGTGTGAATCACAAACGGCTTTGAGCCCAGCAGGTGCACCCTGAACTTGACAAGTACATACTTCATTGCAAGTAACGCCTTGTCATGGACTGGGTAGTTCCTCTCCGCAGCCTCAAGCTGGCTAATTTCAAACGCGATAACACGATCTCGCCCCTCGGCGTCTACTTGCAGACGTGCTCAGCCGACGACAAAGTCCGAAGCGTCACCGACGACACTAAAAAGACGATTGGGGTCCAGCCACGCCAGTACTGGTGCATTGAGAAGGCTGCCTTTGACCCTGTCAGAAGCCCCCCAATGCTCAGTGTCTCGTATACTTCTAATAGAGATTTGACAATGGCCGTGCCATTGTCGCATAGATTGCTCTATACTTGTGCAAGTAGTTGGCGAGACCAAGCCACTTGCGCAAGTCCTTTTGGCTTTTGGAACCGGCCGGTCCACAGTGGCCTTGACCTTGCGGTATCCGCTCGAAGGCCACGCTTCCCAATGAAACACCCTAAAAAGAGAAAAATTTCCGGTCGAACATTAGTATACAGCTTATTCGTGCGCATGCACTCATTCACCGCTCTCAAATGGACAATGTGGTTTT